AGATTAGTCTTTGAGTGTGTTTATATATACCAGCCAGCTGATTAAGTATAAAGTTCTTATAAAAGTATATGATTGAGTGAACAATTACTGACTTACAAATATACCTCCGTCCATTTACACTCCATAAAAATGTTGTATTTTGTTTAAGTGTAATCCGAGTCAAGGATTACAAATTTGTTTTTGTTTTGACAAAAAAATACTGTTGTATGCCCATATAAAGTTATGATGTGCCTATACAGTACCGGACAGTTTTATTGCAAAAATTCAACGCATTCAACCCGTTGCGTTTTCGTTGACAACGCGTTGGCGTTTTCGTTGGCGTTGTCGTTGAAACTGTTGACATCGTTGAGCTGTGGGGTCAAAGATAAATTTGAACTTAAAATCAGTCAAAGTACAGGAAAATACCTCAACTAAAATAAAAAATAAAAAAGTTATAGCTCATTTAAAAGGAACAAATAAATTATATTACTACTATTGTATTATTACTAATGAATTTAACTCAAATTGTAACTGTAGTATTTAGAGTAAATAAAATACATGTATATCAGTTTTTACAGTGTACGTGTACACTGGGGTCAAAGTTAAGTTTGAACTTAAATATAAACCATTGTGTAACCATGATGTGCTTTCCTTGTCAAAGGTTAACGAGTGTACTATGCTGCGAGGTGAATAGCCTTACGTCGTCATTCTGTGAGCAGCTCACGGTTGCTTAAGACGTCATTGGAGAGGAAGATGATGTGAACTCATTTATTACAAATTCATAGTTGGAGGTAAACACTTAAGCCAGGCTCTGGGGAAAACATTTTTTTTATGTTTTCCTTTCTTTTCTTATCTAAGTATGTTCTTTTCAACACCATGTTTACACTATGAAATTATTTCCAAAGATGAATTTGTCTCTGAGTGTGTTTACATGTGATGATGATATTCATAATGGTGGGTGTGGTGTAGGACGTTGAGCTCTAATTGTGCAGTATTAGCGGCTGATGCTTTGTAGTTAGTTTTATTGTTTTTTTTTTTCTATTTTACCTAGATTTAATTCATTATTTTGTTATAAACTTAGCAATTATCTATAGGCTTAAGCCTGCTCTCTCTCACTCTTTCCTTAAATGCATCTCATCATATTTGATTATACAGTATTGTTAATAACTATATATTTGTAAATAAACAGAAGCAAATAAAAAAATATTTTTTTTGTTTGCTTTGTTGCCAGGGCTCCAACAGCATGTCATACATTCAGGATGCATTCCAGCTTCTTCTACCAGTTCTACAAGTCGTTGCCATCGAGTATGAAGAATAAAACCACTAAAGAAAATAGTTACCAGGTATTTAAGACAATGAATTGAGAATAGCCTGATTCAAATAAGCCAACGAAAGCTGATGTTTGCACGTGCAGTCCTGTATAGATCAAAATGCATATTTCCAAACACATTACTGTAAAAACTGTTTGGTTATGATATCTAATTGGAAATTTTAGTTGTATTATGTGGATGCAGTTCAGTGCAGTGGAAATGGGTTGGTTTCCCAACCACTTGGTCGGGGTTTCAATCCTTCGCTGAGTATTTTACTTGTGTCTAAGCAGTGTACTACATTGCCTCATTATAACCAATCAATGAGTACCAGCAAATTCCTGGAAGTAGCCAGTGATGGACAAATGTCCCACCCAGGGGGAGCATCTCCTCCGCTTCTCGATACTTAAAACTGGTGATAAGCTCCAGCGCACATGAGCCTCGTGCCTCGGCTAGGATTTGATTTTTAGTATAATAACCTCAAGCAATAGAGAGACTGCGTATAGGAAAAAATATTTGTTGCAGCAACTGAGAAAGAGACAAATATCGCTAATGTATCTTGAAGCATAAGTCTAATTATAAATCATTTATTATCATCATTTTCATTTCCACACAATTTGCCTATCCCAAGCAGATAATAATTAGTGTCTGATAATTTTTGCATCTCGTGTTCTCTTAGTCCGTTGATGTACATCGCAATGTTTTCGTTGTTAAAGCAAAGCTCTGATTGTACACAACGAACCTTTTAAATGTCGCTCTACAGCATTTGTGAAAAAGAATGAAGCTTAGATTACCTAGGATGGCCAAGAAAGGCATGTGGTTATGGGATAGAAAAGAAATAGATTTACTATGGTCTAGAGCCACACACAAACCTACAGGTTTACACACATGCACCCATACTTTATACCAGCTGAACTCAAATATCAGTTGCAAGGTTTTTTCACAACTCACTAAGCGCATTTATCTGGATTCTACCAGATTTACTTGCAACATTCTTTTCATTAGTATTTTTGAATGTATAGCTCTGAGTATACTGCAGAAGAGTAAAGCCACATTTACACTAGACACAATTACGAAACGATACCGATGTGCGCAGTGTTGAAGAATACAAACTACGCAATGATATGTCGTTGTCGTAATCATATCTTGTGTATATGTGGCTTAAGGCGGGTTTAGCAAAAAATAATTTATTAAGTTACATATCATAAAGCCCAACACCGACAGCGCCCTACAACACACCCTGATGCAATTTATCGTCGGAGACACTCTTCAGGTCATTGTGAGAATATTAAACATGTTTAATATTCTATGACGCAACTGTTCCCGGCGCAGACCTATTGCATCAACGTTTAACTCACAAAGACCTGACGTGACAGCAGATCGTGTCAGACTGCGATTTACGACGCTGAGTTGGGGTTTAAACATTTCGAGACTAAAGACGCATTGAACAGTAGTTGAAATTGCTTAATTTGCATATTTTATTAAATACTGTACTTAGATTTCAATTGAGAATTCAATAAGAGTTTTCTCTCAATTTCACAGATGCAATTTATAAGACAGTTCTTATGTCCTTGTTACCGACTAGCAATCAATTTTAAGATAATCCGAGTGAAACGTTTGTAAGTTCATTAAATCATGTTTTCGACATGATGCCATCACAGATGGTTTATCTTATAGTGTTCTACTCATTTGAACATTAATATATAAGTTAAGAAAATAATGGAACACAACAATAATATATACATGTCCATGAAGCGTCACGTTAATAACATCTGCAGAACAGTATCTTTTCAACTTCGAAACATCAAACAGGTTAGACGTTTTCTGAACGAAGATGTTGCTTCTAAACTTGTATACGCCTTAGTAACATCCAGATTGGATTATTGTAATGGGGTCCTTTATGGACTGCCTCAAACTTCAATTAATAAGCTTCTGCTGCTACTTAACATCGCTGCTCGGTCGGTTACTGGAAGACCTAAACGTCAACATATCACACCAGTTTTCCGTCATCTTTATTGGTTGCCCGTGAAGAAGCGTATTGATTTCAAAATTTTAGTTTGTTTACAAATCCATTCATGAGTTATCTCCTAAATACATTTTTCAACTTATTAAATCTCGCTCCTCAACATGCGCTCGTACCCTCAGATCAACATCCAATTTGACTACACTTTATAGTCCACCCTGAAGGTTAAAGTCATGTGGGGAGCGTTTATTATTCATGGTTGCTGCACCTAAATTACGGAATACTAATCTCATTTAAAAACTCACTTATTTCTTTCTCTTTGATTTCCCCTTTTCTATCCCTTGCCAGCTAGCTTTTTTGTAGTTCTATCAGGATAGGAGGCGCCTGAGTCCTGGGATGGCCAAGACTCAACTGGTGCTGGACAGGGTACATTTTGATAGATCCCTGCCCAGCGAAGAGGGCGTATCCCCATACTGCGGTTTGGGTGCTTGCTTGGATTTTCTTCTTTTTTTTTCCAGTTACATCTGCTCACTTGTTCTGTGCATAGAGTCTCGTATTTTGCGCAATATATATATATATATGTGTATATATGTGTGTGTATGTATATATGTGTGTATATGTATGTGTATGTATATGTATATATATGTCTTTGAAATTGCATAATACTCTTTTGCATCAATATAAAAAATTATTTTATATATATCAAGAGAAAAGTTGACACTAATGTTTTCATGCATATTGCGGTCATGTCTCATAATAGTGTGACCGGTCGGCGACTTGATACGTGAGAGGCGTTATAAAACAAACTACCCAGATCAACCTGACCACATGGGCTGGCGCGTGCTTGACTTTGACACGAATAAATAATTAGACAAACAATGTAATAGGATACAATAGAATATAATTGGCACAATATATTCATTCAACACAAGAATACATATTGAAAATCAAACAACAATATAAAGTATAAGTCAATTAAGATTGTAACTTATGATTTGTTGAACATCTAAGGTAGCGACGCGACTTGTCTCCTGGCTTCGCTTGGTGTAACTGGACGCTTTTACATTCGCAATCCACAGCACATCAGACACGACCAGATCAAGTATGCACGCGGACGCTTCCGTTGCTCTCATCTGTTGGTTCGGTAGCTGGACGGTACCTTGTTCGATAACCCAATCACAGTACGACACCCCTAACAGATCACTACTTCGCTCAAACTGTAATTATGAGCAGAGTATCGAGGATGACAACACAGCAAAGATATAGGCTGATGTTATAGCTTGCTTGCCAAAATGTGTTTTGTCTAGCCCCATTTATATAATTAAGTCAAAAAGGCTAGCATAATAGATAATACAATTTTATACTATACAGGGCTATAATCATAATTTCAGTAGCATTAAACATGAATTTTATTAAAAATACTTCATAGGATTATACAATATCACAATAAAAATAACATAAGTTTGAATAACGTGAATCAAATTGTTCAATCTTTAGCATAAAATCTGGAATGCCTTACTTCAAATATTCAAAGGTACATTAAGGCTAAGGCCCATAAAAGACTGTACAGGGACAACACTCTAATACTAATTCATATTACAACTGCATTATCGACTAACAGTGGTTGGCAGTAATATATAGTGCATTTGAACATAGTAAACAAGTTATCCTAAACTTCTTAAACTACTAAACAATAAAGTATAAAATACATTGGTTTTTACCTGTAATAATGAGCAGAATATCGAGGATGACAACACAGCAAAGATATAGGCTGATGTTATAGCTTGCTTGCCAAAATGTGTTGTGGCGAAATCTGTTTTCAGCTGGGGTTATATGCATGACAAGGATCACCTCATCAGCCTAAGGATTTCGTTATCAGGCCATATTTGGTCAAACCATATTTGGTCTGGTCATCTTATGGTACCACTTTTTTACTCCTCATGGAATGCATTACCATCTTATAGGAACGTATTACCCCATTCTATGGGAATTTCTGAACCAGATTCTGCCCTATCTTTCTACTCAGTGAAGGACAAGGTGGTTTTATTCTTGACCCATAGTAACAAGGACATAGTGGTTTGAATAATGACCCATGGTATATACCCTTGTTACAATAGTTTGGACTTTGACCTCAGGAACATCAACGTAACTTTGTAAGAAGCTGTTTAAGAAAAATTAATACTGTAATAGTGTAAAATATTTATCTATTCAGTTCAGGAATTATTTTAAGCCTGATATATAGTGATTCTGCTCAGCAGATAATGTTCTCAATATTAATGCTTATTTGTCATATATTTATATAGTGCCTTCCACAGAAAACCATCTCAAGGCGCTTTTGAAGCCACAAGAAATAAAGACAAAAGAACGTGAAGAGGGGGTTAGTGCGCACCCCCGATTTTGAGATAGCGTCGCCATCACTACCGTGTATACGCAGGTACCTCGGCGTCAGTTTGCTCGGCTCCAGTAGCTTCCACCAAGAATAAGCCTATGGCTCCTCTACCGTACACTGCTGAGTTGGCGGCGCAACCTCAAGTAAGGGGGTGCGACTTTTCAGGGGGAAAAAAGACTTAACTACAGAACAACTTAACTACAGAAATTTAACTACAGAGATTAACAAATAAATGAGAACTATTAACCATGAGAAAGTTAACAAAGTTTGAAGAGATAAGCCTTCAAATTCTTTTAAAATGTATAATCAGTGGTGGCACCAGCAGGGAGCATTTGGCCTCAGGTCTGGGCCCCCACCCCCCGATGCATGACTAGATCGTCGAATCAGAAATAAATAATTGCGATTGAAAGACAGATACTGATACTGAAAGGCGAACAAGTATAGTTAATAATAGTTTATCCTTGATATCCATTCGTTCAATTTGGTTCAGTGCATCGCTAATTGATTCGAGATGATTTACTTCAGCTTCTTGTCTTTCTCGCCACTGTACTAACATTTCAATACAGGCGTCTACAGTTGGTGGTGAAAAATCTGATTCAATTCGATTTATTTCAGATCTTTGCAAACCTAAGTAAATCCCAAAATCCTTCCAATCGTTGTCAAGACTCTCTGAGATAATTACCATGTCAGTGTCATGCAAGCAACCTGAAACAGAACATATGAATTTTCAATAATACTGTATACATGTAGACGAGTGGTATATATGCCAATGAATATAGAATGTCATTTGTGTTACCACAGAAATGGTATTTTATGTGTAGTGCATTAACATTAGCCTTAATATGAGTGTGACTTCACCTCAGAACTTTGTAATTTACAAAAGTAAGCTTCTGAATTTGTAGACACATTTAGATTTCAGAGTAAAATTACAGTTTGGTAAAGTGGAGGAAAACTATTAGATAGATGTAATACTTGAATATCCAATGCCAAAGTCACTATTAAAAAAAAAACAAGGTCTATCATACTGTCTTCATAATGTATTTTGACAAGAGATCATGAGTTGTATTAAAGGGAATGGGAAATGGATGGAGTGTTTATGGAAATAATAAATTTGCGTCGGCCTGCCACCGGTCACAACAATCTGCCTCTGCTCTGACCGCCAGCTTAAAAGGTTGAATACTTGGGCCCTTCATTAGCATGCCTGCTTTTTGAAGGTTAGCATTTACAGTAAGATCTATACGTTGGCCAGTCATGACTGAAGGGCTGAAACCAGCAATAATTTTGTTTTACAAGTAAACCGATAATTCAACCTTACATTCTCACAATGAAGCAAAAGAAAGTGTATGGATCTCTGTATAATATATGAAATTAAAATTAAATTGTGCTAACTATGTTTCTCAACAAGAACGGTGACAAGAGGATAGCAATTTTTCACTAACCGTGCACTTGTCTTTGCTTTGTTGCATTTATCTGAGTTGCTGCAACTTCTGACTCATTTCTGTAGCCATGCCTTTCACATACACGTCGTGCAAGTCCAACAAGCTGCTGTTGTTTCAAAGCATTCACCATGATTGGTACTTGGTCTGTTGAGTGGTTATCTCTCCAAGTAACCAGCAATTCCATGATGCGGTCTTTTACAAGTCTGTTGTTGTTTGCTATCTTGTTGATATCAGTCCACTTAAGTCCAAGACGCACTCCTAGTCTCCTCCATGAACCAGGCTCCAGTTGGTCGCAGATGAATAGCAAATCTTGATCATCAAAACATTTTCCTATTATAAAATCATAGATTATATACAAATAATAAAATAATTGAATAGGATGCTATTGAGATTATATACAAATAATAAAATAATTGAATAGGATGCTATTGACACCGTGTTTCCTATCTGTTACTTTTGTCAACTGAGCTAAGCTACTCTCCCCGACAGTGGTCCCCAATGGGAAAAAGTGGGCGTGGTCAGGCGTCGCTGAAAATCTTTCAAAAGTGGTCCAGGGGGACAATTTAGGGGTTTCAGAAGCTTATTTAATAGATCTACTATATATGGAGAAAATACATATCATTTTTTTTCCTCCCCGACGAATTTTCTTCCTGATGGTGGGGCCCCCACCCCCCTCGCTGGTGCCGTCTCTGCCTGTATATTTTTACACTGTCATTTTTTGGGACCTTAATCAACAACAATATCCAAGGGGCAGAACTTAGCATTGTTTCGCTTGCTTTTCAGCTGGAGGGCTGTTAAACTAATTAAATTTAATTAAACTAAACTATACCCAAAAAATATTGGATAAATAATTAATGGTAAAATTGTTTATAATGGTTTATTTTCTTCTCTATGTTGTTGATAAGCGCCACAAGTTTGTGACAATGTCAGGCACTATGTAAACCCAGAATTATTATTATTGATGTTTTAAACCCTTTGTCTTTGAGAAGAGTAGGGGGTTGTCTCCCGGTGTACTGACCAATTTATCACCAGAAGGACCCCATTGGAAGTAAGTACAAGACTTTCACTGGTTATTCTTGATGTGTTTCACACAGGAGATCCAAAATCATCCCAGCAAAAGGCCGTATCCGGGGGGGGGGGGGGGATCCCCCTTTTTTATGGTGAACCCCCTCTTTAAATTTCCCAAATAAGTCCTCCAACCCAGCTAATGCACTGCAGACCCACCCAGACACAGTCGTCTGCTTTTGTAGCATTATTTAGACCCATAAAGCACAAAAATCCTCTTGCTTTGGGGGTTCTGCCGACCTCACGCCAGAACCACCCCCCCCTTGGAAGGACCTGGCTACGGGCCTGAGCATTAATAATACATTACTAACCATCTTTTTCTTTGCGTCTTAGATGTAATTTTGCACTAGCATGTCCTTCACCTTCTACAAGGAATGGTTGATCCACTGATAATAACTGAGATCCAAAGGCCTTGTTAGCAAGCTCGGCGAG